TCCCTACACTGGAGTCCACCTCCCAGAACCTGGGGCCTGGCTGTGGGGCAGGAGTAGCCCAGTTTCTGCAGGCCTGGAATGGTCCCATAGTCCTGCCCTGGCCCAGTAACCACCCAGCCCTGGGCTGCCAGGAAGGCTCACACCTTCCCCTTCAGCCCTGCTGGGCAGGCTCAGGTAGCTGCCCCTGGGCTAGGGTTCAAGGGCATCATGTGGAAGAACAGGGGCTGAAGGGCTCTGCACAGCTGGTAGCAGGCAATGCTAGGCCAGTCCCACCTGCTGCAACTGGCACAGACACTTTTACACATGCTCTGAGAGTGAGTGAGTGAGTGAGTGAGTGAGTGAGTGAGTGTGTTGGGGGGGGGGAAGCACTTTAATGAGGGTGGCTCTAATTAAAGTGTCACAGCATCTCATGCATCACCATCCAGGGCTTAAAATGGTAGTTCAAACACCCCTGCTAAAGCTCATTTGGTGAGCTTTAGTTCAAGCACCCATGCCGCCATTTTTAAGCACGGGAACACTGATACACAAGATGCGGGAGGCTGCACACAGAAAAAAAAGAAAAAGGTTCATTTATGTCAATAGTTTAAAATTCCTTGCATTATTACTAAATATCAGTTATTGGATTGGCATTGGCTGATAGGATTGGTTAATAATCAGCTACTGGTATCAGCCAAGAAAATCTTTATCGGTTCACCCCCAATTAAAAGAATGAATTAATGAAGAATGATTAAAACAAAGTACTATATTGCTTATGGGGTAATTAAGAGGGGCGTGGTATTGGTAAGACAATGTTCAAATACTGGAAAGAGTAAAGCCTCAAGGCAAGTTTTACAAAGGGATACAAAAAAAAAATAATATAGGATGCCTATACGTGTGCAGATAAGCTACTCTGACACCTAATTACATGACAGCACAGATTTGATTCATTGAGTCTGCTAAAGTGTAGTAATTACTATGCTCCAGCAGACTCCAGCGTCATGTGCATCCAGGTTCCCATGCTGAAAAATCGTGGTGGGGGGCACGTTAACTAAAGCTCACTTGACGAGCTTTAGTTAAAGCACTCCGTGCCACCATTTTTTAGCGCAGGGACACAGATACATGTGACACTCTGGGCACTTTAATTAGAGTGGCTTTTGAAGCCAGTGTAATTAAAGCGCCCCACCTCTCAGAGCACGTCTATAAACACCCATTCTTATTAGCAGCAAGTAGTCATTTTTCCCAAGTTTGTGTCACCAGTTTTTCAAAACCTGACTTTTCTGAACTAAAAGGATTGAAAGAGAGCCTTTCAGAACAAATACAGTTCTGTCTTTCAAAACAAAACAAAACAAAAAAAACATGATGGATAGCTCCAAAATCTGTACTGCTACTCAGATTCTTATGAAAGAGGCTGGTACTGGAGTTATTCATTTTCCTGCTGGTGAGGATGGTCCTCTCCAATTTGCATCTGCTCTCAGCTGAGGAGTTCTTCCTGTGGTTCCCAAGTGATGCTCTGAAACAGGGATGGGCAAGATCCAGCTCACCAACTGATTCTACCCAGCCCACAGCTGCTCCTCTGAAGGAGAATTATATCTGGCCTGTGACTGCCCTGGCTTTCAGTGCCTCTTGCTCTTCTCCCTTACCCCTGTGCTGTAGCCAGCAGACCCTGCCCTCCCCAACCTGACTTTAAGTGTACGCTCCAAGGCAGGGGGTGCCGAGGTCCTGGCCAGGCTTCTGCCCAGTGAGGCTGTCTGTGTGCTGCTCCGACCCTGCAGCCATTCACAGATGACAGCCCATCCCGTGGTGAGCTGGAGCTCAGGTAAGGTTCTCCCTGCTAGCTTGGGGGGGGGGGGGCAGGGGGAAGAGGGCTAGGAGCCACATGTTCTGTGCTCTGCCAGGCCAAGGCCTGGTAGGAGTGCAGGGATTGCTAATGAGATGCCACACTGTGTTCCCGCACACCACTTTGGGCTGAGCCACGTGGGCACAACTGGAGCAGCTGGCACAACTTCTGCCCAACCCCGAGTCTCCAGGACATAGCTGGGTCAGGCAGAAACTGCACCACCTGCAACCACGACCTGAAGTGGTGCACGGGAACACAGCACAGTACTGGCCTGCCCATGTGCCAGGGACTCTAGGAGGAGGTGTTGGGGGTGGGAGGGGAGCCACAGCACAGGACTGGCCACCTTTCTCACTGCACCCCATTCTCTTCCCAGGTACTTATCACATGCCAGGCCAGGCCAGGCCAATGCCATACTATGTTCCCTGCATGCCACTGCAGGCCATGTGGGCAAAAGGTGGCATGGTTTCTGCCTGGTCCAGCTGCATGCCATGGACTCAGGGCAATGGGTATGGTGCAAGGGAGGGGGTACAGAGGGCTGGGAGCTGCAAGTTATCCAGGCCTGACCAGACTGGTACCATGCTGTGTTCCCCTCTTTTCCCTGAATCCCCTCCCCTCCCCCAAGTCCCCAGCACATGGCCTGGTCAGAGGAACCACTCCCCATCTGCACCCATGTGGCCTGAGGCAGCGCACACGGCACAGCACCGGCCTGGCCTGGCCTGGCCACGTGCCAGAGACTTGGGGATGCAGGGAGAAAGGGGAAAAACATAGGTTAGGTTTTCCAAAAACCCAGGGGTGGGCAATTATTTGGGCCAGAGGACTACTTTGGGAATTCTGGTGAGCTGTTGCAGGGGCCAAGGAGGAAAGGGTGCCAACCCAGCCTGCGACAACTCACCAAAACTCCCAAAGTCAGTCCACCAAAAAAACTCCCAAAGCTCCCTCCAACTGTTGCTCTTCGTAACATATTCTAGACACTGCTACTCCTGTGGGCTATTTAACCTACATCTTTCACATGAGACTTTGGTCTTAGATAATTTTTGTGTTTCACTCTGAGAAAAAGAAGAACAGGAAAAGCGTGTGCATCCTCATACACACACTGTATCTTTGTATATCTGACTGAAAGGCAGATGTACAAAATTAGATATACAAAATTATACCTCAGTATAATACACATCTATATAAATATATAAATCTGTCAGCTCTATAAAGATAGTAAAGTCACCTCTTGAAGGAAAGTTGAGGACCATCCCTATTCCTAACCTTGGGGCAAGAGAAAGACCTAAGAAAATGCTGCAGTACACTACAGAGGGCAGAGTCCTCTATTAAACAGAAAATGGATGGTATACTTAAAGAGGATTAGCAGAATTGCTAAAGTGCAGGAAGGTGATTAGCATGTCAAAGATTTAAGATCCACAATCCCATCATCCCTACACTAAGAAGCTGAAAACACGTCTACCAAACCTTATCAGCTGCCATAGATTAACAGTCATCATAAAAGGTTATTAGAGCCACAAGCTTCATATGAAGTTGCATAAGTCAGATATCCTCCGATTTAACTATCTGCCCTGAACCTACATCCTTAAAATAAATGGAACTAGCATTAGTGCCCTGAGTATCTTGTAAAATAAAGCAGTTAAAGTATGTACATTCCTTTAGGAATGTATTTTTTCCCAGAACCAAACCACAGGTACAGCGCACATGTATTTTCCCATTGAGAAATAAAACTCCTCAGATTCTTTGCAAAGCCAAGTCTCATTATCAGAGATTTGGGTTTTCCGATTGCTGTGGAAATGCATGGATTTTCTGCTTGAAAGGAGAAAAACGTGGGAAACCACGGGTATCCCCTTGCAGGCTACCACAGCTCCCTCAGCTGCCTGTTGGGAAGTGGGGGGGGGGCAGACCGAGGTAGTGGCAGCAGCCTTGGTCAGGGAGGGAGTGGGGTAAGGCTGGTGTCAGGGAGACATGTACCCCTCCAGATTTGTTCATCCACCGTGGGGCATGGGGCTGTGCCTCTGCCATGACAGCACATCTGGCACAGGGCTCCCAGCAGCAGCGTCACTGAGTCTCCCCACCCCACCTTCGCTTTGCCCTCCCACAGCAGGTCTTGCTCATTGGGGCATAGAGGCCCCCGGGGTGAGGGTGGCAGCGCACAGAGCCTGCATCTACCCCAACCCCTCATGGGCTCTGCTGGGCTCCACACTGGCCATGCTGCCTGTAGGGGCAAGCCTAGGCTCTGTCCCCACTCTGGCTGCAGCAGCCACCACCTCCCATGCACAGCAGCAGGGTCTCAGAAGCCACTGCCAGTTGTAACTGGCAACCGTGGAGCAGGGAGTGGGCAGGATGCAGCCACCAGGTCCTGTAGCCCTGGCAGCTGGGGGTCCCCTTCAGCAAGGCTGGGGAGAATGGGGAGCCACAGGTTGGGAGTGAGAGACACCGGCAGGGCTGGGGGGCTGTGGGAGTGAGGAGTAACAGCATGGGCAGGGCACCAGCCTAACAGGGCTGTTCAGCACCACAAAGCAGCAAGGGAGAGGAAGAACAGCTGCACCTGGACCCACATCCTGGTGAGTGAAAGGGGCAGGGGGAGCTCTGATTAAATTAAAAAAAACAAAAAATCAAATACCAAAACAGGTAGGTGTTTAGAATTTATAATTATTATAATGGACTGAGGTGCTGGTAGGCTTCCAAAATTGATTTTACATTTTTTAAATATATCAATAAAACATTGTGTTCAACTAATACACATGTACATGCGTACGTATATTGGCGTTTCATTTTAAATTGCAGAAAACCCCCCATAGATTTTGGGCATTTTAATTGGAGAATTTGGGGGGGGGGGGTTTAAAAGCAGAGAATTTGGGATTTTTAGAAAGAGAAAACCAGGATCCCTGTATCCACTATGTACAATACAGACAAGTTATTGGTACAGAAGAATCTATAGACTGAATTCAAAGTAAACATGTTTAAGTTAACAAGTAGAAGCACCTAACCCCCCAAAACGAGCTTCACTTACCTTTTGGGAGGTACTGACTTTCTATCATTTTCTTTCTTATTCTTGTACATTAAATCTAGGGTACATCCCTGACACTTGCAGACATTCCCCCGCCCCAGCGCAAATTGTACTCAAATATTGCATTTAGTTAAGTGCCTACCAAAAAAAAGCAAGAAATTCTTATAAACTGGATTATACCTGCAACTTTGTCCCGAATAAGTTTTGCAGATTCAACTTCGCCAATACTGCTAAATAGACTCCGTAACTCATCCTGCGTCATGTTCTGAGGGAGGTAGTTCACAATTAAGTTTGTTCTACCAATATCATCCCTGCAATCTTCAGCCATGTGATCTTCATAACCATTAGACATTTTATGAAATATCTGAAAAAGAAAAAATCTCAAGTAAGTTCTACATTGTTGTTTTGTAATCAAATGAACTTTATCTACCCACAATGTTGATAAGTTTTATTTTTATGAAACAATTCAGTTTGTATCTATGCATTCCCTTTCTTCTTTAAGGAACAAAACACCAGTGTTTAAAAATTCCATGACATTTAATTCTCTCAAGCAGATAAATTTGCCATTTAAAAACAAACAAACCCTGAACAATTAAAGGACCGTGCATTTAAATGGAAAGAGCTAAGATAGATTTAAAGTATATTTAAAATTACATACACAGCAGATAAAAGAGAATTAAGATGCAAAGTTAAGCACTTGGATTTAGAAAATGCCAGAAGTGTAGCTGCTCCTGCAATTGCAATTCAATGCACATAACCATGGGCCTATGACAGCCAGATTATATATGGATTTTATGGCTTATATTCCAAACTTTGCCAGCCCTCCTACACAACAATTAGGAATTTGGCTTCCCAGCATTCCAAGGTTTCTATTTCTAGTCAAGAGGAAAACTTGTGTATGGTTAAAGGGTCAAGCCAAGCACAGACATATGCCACATTCGTTTGTAAAGGCAGTGCAACTAGATGGTCAAGGCTTGATCTCCTATTAGAGCAGTGCTTTGGACACAGAGCATTCTCAGGGTAAGAATCACTGTATTAGCTAGAAGTGGCCTTGTTCAATGCTTTATTTGAAGGCTATAATACTTTAATAATTTCCAACAACCCTGTGAAATGCACAGGAACACCACAAGCCAAAGGAAGAACTGGAACTGAACTTCTGTCTTCTTGATTCTCTGCCCAGTACTACTTCCCCATGCCAACAGCTGCAACAGCTCCTGCTGTACCACTTACTTGAACCCAAGATGCACACATAAGGACTGGTCATAAGGACTTTTAAAAACAATGCAAGTGGGAATGACGCGTGAATTAAGTCGATACCACTGAAAACTGTTGCACTACCAGAAATCTACCATATTTGGCCACACAGTTTTTTTAAGGTGTACGTGTATTACCATATTTAGTATTAAATGAAGTTAAAGAAATAAATAAATTAAATGAATTAAAGTTAATTCCCACTCTCAATTTACTAAGTCATTCCTACCTTCAGTAATGAAATAAAATCTATTACCTTCAGAGAAACTTTTAGTCGTGTTTTAGTCCCCATTCATTCTCTTATAGCACCACTCATACTAGCAAACTAGTTTTTCAACTCATTCTCCACTGAGAAGAACAGCAAAATCAACCCTACACCTAAAACTTCACATTAACTCCAATGCCTTAATTCCTTAAGAAATGAACACCCCCAAGACTAGTACTAGAAGTATTAAATTATTTTATCCAGTAAGATTTTCCCCTGTAATTTATCAGCATGCCCACTTCTATGGACACTACGCATTTGGGTGTCTATAGCCACAGCAATAGTCTCCGAGTCATTAATAACAGAGTTAGACAATAGGGGTGCACTAAGAGAGATTTTTGGGGCTGATGCCACCTGCCAATTTTTAAGGAGGAATATTGACTGATACTGATCTGATTTCTTATATGCAGCCTGGCTGCTTGAAGAGCAGTGTCTGGCTGGTAAGTCTGTTGGGGTGGAAGGGGAGGAGGAAGGGAAGGCGTGTGGGGGTAGATCGACGCCCTTGAGGTGAAGGAGGGAGTGGGGCTGGAGCTGTGCCTTGTCCAGGGGCCGCAGGGCAATGGGGGCAGCTCCTGCTGCTGCATGCACCCTAGGAGAGCATGGGGGGGGTGCGTGTGACACCAGATCTGCGTGGGGCAGGCTGGGCTGGGGCTGGGGCAGTGCCGTGCTCTTCCTAGCAGGCGCTAGGCTGGGCTGTGCTCAGGGTGGGCGGCAGCAGCACTGGGAAGGAGGGTACGGGCCGTAGCTCCCCCGCCCCTGGCAGTGCCACCACCCGCCCCACCGTGAGCTCAGCCTGGCCCACCCCCCTGCCAGGAACAGCCTGGCACAGTCCTGGCCCCAGCCTGCACTGTGCAGATCCAAAGGGCACACACCTCTATGTACTCCCGGACCATGCGCAGCAGCGGGAGCCATCCCCATCACCCCAAGCCCCCCCAGACAAGCTGCGGCTATCCCACATCCTGCCTCAGCAGGGCAGCACCTGCCCCAGCCTCACTCCCTCCCTCACCCCACGCCCCTTTCCTCCCTTCTCCCCTTCCACCACAACAGACTTACCAGCTGGATGCAGCTCCCCATGCTGCCAGGCTGCGCTCCTTGCCATCTATGTGCCGCGCTGTGGCTGTACGCATGCATGGGCCATTTATCGGCCACATCAGGCCAGTTTCCGATGGTCAACTTGCTTTATATCGGTGCTGATCTGACATAGCACCAATGTATCAGTGCATCTCTATTAGACAAGCCCACTTTTCACTAACCTTAATCCAGATTCAAGTCTCTGCTGCTCCAAAATGTTTTAAGGTTAATGCTTTAATGTGTCAAACCACAGAACTCACTTCTGAAAGAGATTAGTACTAATATAAATATCAAGCTAAATATAAAATCTACTCTGACCTAGCTTTCCAGCCATACACCCACAAAAATATGGAGATCACTACTGACATTAGGACAACGTGTTACGTTCACTTTACTGAATCTGCAAAAAAAATTCAGAAATGATAGTAACAGACCCAGTCAGAGATGACCCGAGCAAAATGCAGAGCCCAGGGCAAGTCAACCCTGCCCCCAGACGCAAGGAAGCCACTGGCAGATTCAGCAGAGGAGGGAGGGGTGACCGGTGAGACGTGAAGCCAGCAGCAGCACGGAATCGTCACAGCCGCTCCACCTGGCACCACGGGGCCCCCCCAAAGTGCAGGGCCCAAGGCAGTTGCCCCGACTCTGCCCCCTAGGGACGGTCCTGGACCCAGTAACAATATCTGTAGGGGTGCACTGATAAAGATTTTCTTGGTCGATACTGATAGCCAATTTATTAACCAACCATACCAGCCAATACCGATTCAAGAGCAGATTTACCGGAATGCAGCCAGGCAGCTTGGAGAGCAGTGTCTTAGTGGCAAGTCTGTGGTTGGGAAAGGAGCATGGGGGGGAGATGAAGGCCCACTACGGTGAGAGAGGGACCGCAACAGGGGCAGTCGATACAACCCCGGTAGCAGGATGGAGTCATGGGCAGCTCCCCACTGCTGTGCACACCCCCAGGGAAGGTATGTGGGGGGTATGTGCCCCCTGGATTTGGGCGCAGGGCAAGGGTGGGCTGCCCACTGTGGGCTCAGGGCCAGAGCTGCACCAGGTTCTTCTGGTTGTGGGGGCTTGGCTGGGTGGCAGCAGCACTGAGCGGGGTGGGCATAGCCCTCCCCACAAATCTCGTTCCTGCTCACGGCACTCCCCCTGAGTTCCCTGCTCAGGGCTCCCAAGGGAAAGATAGCAGAGTGGAGTGCCCTGAGCAAGGGTGGTGTTTGGGGGG